CCGTGGCAGTGGCAGTGGCAGTAGCAGCAGGATCAGGAGGAGTAGAGGAGGAAGAAGTAGAAGGAGTAGAAGTAGAAGCAGAAATAGTAGAAGGATGCGGGGCAAGTAGCTATACTACTAGTCGTGCTACCATCAGCATTACCGGCACCAGCATCAGGAGGACGAGCAGGATCTGTCAAAACTTCTTGAAATTTGGCGGCGACTGCCAGATGTTCTAACCTGCAGAGTGTAGGGCAGGCGTTTTCGGGTTCAGGCTCCCTCGCTGGGTATTTATATGTTACCTGGGTGTATCAGACGATCGTCTAGTTCGGACCAGGGAATATTTCAAGTTCGGGGCTTGGGGGCTGCAACTGAGGGCTTACAAGGATGTCTGTCTGTCCGCCCGTCCGTTTGTATGCATGTGTGCTTGCTGATGTTGAATATGGTTATGTAGTGGTAGCTACATGGACAAGCGGTCTGGAGGAAGGGTTTATGTAAGGGTTTGCAGCATGCAATCAATCGCTCAGAGGGTGAATTCTGCCGGCTCATACACAACCTGTTGACATGTCAATGTGGGGGAAGGGATTAAAACGCTCCGTCCACCCACAGCATGCTCCAACAGCCTCCTGATGAGTGATGAGTGTTTTCGCACTGTTCAGGGACCGCGCATTTCCAGTTCGCCAACCGGTCGGGCTAGCAATGTTCCGTCCTCATCGCAGTGTTTCCTCCTCGGACTCGCCCTTGCTACGGGCAAGACTGCAGAGTCCTTCGCTGTCACTTCGACATCATTATTAGAGTCATTATCATTGTAAGTTTGCCTTAGCCGTGCCCTGGAGTGCCGCGAACTCAAACTTCTTTCTGAGGAGCCTTTGATGTCCAGCGACTCTCCGTTGGCAGAGGCCTGGTGCCGTATGTGCCTTAACGTAACGGCGCCCCAGACTGACCGTGAGATCCGCAGCCTCTCAGTCCTCGGGATCTGAGCTGAAGACCTGAAAGTTGTGTTCTGGAGGCACTTCCGTCCCCGAGGAGTGAACTGCTGGAGGCGCCCAACTCGGCAAGAATGGTCTCGCTGGCTACAAGTCTAAGTGCAGATGTTTCTCGCTATCTAGTGGGACACGGAGGAAGGGCCACAGAAACAACGGAAGCTTGGCCAGGAGACGGCGGTAAGTGAAGACTTGCACGAGCAAGGCAGCGCGACGCTCGTGATGTCGCAGAGGGATATTCTGCAGCACTGCAACCCTGAAGTCGGTAGATTCTCCAAGCACCTCAATAATTAGACTACAATCACTTCGAATCTTCACGGTAAGCCACATTGTCGATTGTTGTCGGCAGCCACACTGGGCAAAGTGAGTGAATTCAGAAAGCAATCTACAAGGCTTCATGTCCGCCGCGAAGGCACCATTGCGCGAGATGTCAGCTTCGGTGCTGGCATGCCGGACTCGATCAAGTACTACATTTCAGCCCAGCAGGAACCTCAGCTGCGGAAGTGGAGCAGGAAGGAACCGGGCAGTTCCGAAGCGCCAGCCTTGAGGTCCCTGGCACCATCTGCAGGCGGGAGACTTGGATCATGCAAAGAGCTGGTTTTCGCCGGAGCAGAGCGGCCTGATGTCTAAGGCAGTGTGGCGTGTGTTCAGTTCGGCTCTCATCTTCACAGGATGTGACTGCATGCATGTCGCAGCCTGCAGGCCACTGGCTGTTTCTGAGTCAGCTCATGAAAACTTGACAGCTGCAGCTAGTTTCTAAGCTGCAGCTTCCCAAACACCGCAGAAGCATTTCAGAAGCATTTCGAAGATCACTGGCATCACGCATGGCCTAGATTTACATGTTTCTTGAAGACTAACGAGTGTGGGTGTATTTTTGAATCTCTTGCTGTTCACAACCTTCTGACAGGGGCTTGCAATTCGTGACTCAGCATGCAACATCTGACTCATGTCGTCTCTGCGCAAGTCGGCAATGTCGGTTCAGCGCTCCGGGCATATCGCAGCTGCTACAAGCTGCGCTAGCTCGCCATGATTACTACAGCTCCCCTTCGAGTACGCACAGCTGCGACAGTGGTTTCCCGAATCAATTTGATGATTCACATTTGTGGATATTAGCAGTTTGCATTTTTACAGTGCTCTCGTGGCATTTCACGTCAAGGGTCTTGGATTCGACGGATGTGTCACGATGCATTCATACATCAAGGTGTGTATACGGCAGTCGCAGTCGCACGTGCCCCCGCTGAGTCTGGAGGTGGGCTTTGTCTTGTCCGGGCTATGCCAGCATGTTGCTGTAACCCATTGCTTGGTTTGCATGTTGAGTGGGATTTCCGCATTCGCGGCAGCTAGGTCAGTTTGTGTAGGTTAACCACGGGGCCAGGAAGCCACGGGGAAAGAAGAGCCCTGGGCTGGACTCGGCAGTGATGCAGCTGCAAGGCAGGTCGCCAGTGATTGGTCAAATCTTGCAAGTCGTGTGTAATCGTGTGCTTCTCTCAGGATTGCCATCCTCTTCGGCCAGTCTGCATCAGCTCCTGGCCAGATTGTCAACTCTCCGACCCCTGTTTCTCCGTTTCTCTGCGCTCTCTGCATCTGCACAGCGTACCCTGCTCGAGATGTCAAGCTGCGCGTGTTCACACCACCGCCGCACTGTGGTCGATTGAGCCGAGGCTTCCTTCCACTCAAAGTGGGAGATACTGATGGGGCAGGGCGAGGTTCAGAACTGGATGAAGAGCACACCTGGTCACGATGTGCAGATGCGGTATCCTGGGGAGTGGAAGTTTGCTGGCATCTCGGTTTTGTTTTAGCAACAACTGTCAACGCAGACATCCTGTGAGTTGTTTCAGATGTCTCTCAGTGTCAGGTGGGGTTGTAGACGCAGACGAGACCCCAGAGGAGGCAGCACGCAGAGAGTTGGAGGAGGAGTTCCAGGCTTCGATCTTGAAAGTGTCTTCGGCACATCGCCAAGTGTCTTTGTGTGGGCACCGCCAGGTCCCAGTGGCGCTCACCAAAGCCACCTGCAAACTCCGGCTCATGAGCATCAAGCAGACCAGGCCACTGCGAGCAAGCGAAGCCCTAATGATGACCCGCACTGGCAGGCCCATCCGCAACATCTCGAACATCATGCATCCTGCAGCATTAAAGGTTTTGACCTGTGCGTGAACTGGAAGTTGTGCCTCTGTCGGCGTTGCCGGTAGGATGTGGCAGAATGGTTGCTGTGATCGATGAGTTACGGAATGTTACACAGATGCCTGGATCTGCCTAGCAGCTGCATACAAGGTTCAACTACGTGGCCGCGGCTGAAGAAAACCCGTGGCTGCAGCAGCTGGATGTCGAGGCTTCTAGAGAGATGTGGATTGTACTTGGAAGACAATGACGGATATGTGGCATGTGTCAGAAGGTTGCGAGGCCTTTGGTGATGTAACCGTTGTGCCCAGGAGGTCAACTGCGCCTTGTCAAATCGCCGCAGAATGCATGCTGAAGCCATTCGAGGCGCTTGCAACTGTCTCCTAATGCTCCAGTGCAATCTACACATGACTTTCCAGTGCCAATATTTGTCTTGTATACTTCGTCCAAGCACGTCGTGTTGCAGCAGATATACCATACGAGGACACTGCTTGTGCGCGGCCATTCTGCTTGCAGATGTTGGTCCCATGGCATGACGACCGCAGCCATGTCCTTTGCGTTTGTTCGCATGGTGCTGGTCTGTGCGTCAGCCAATACAGCTACTGGAAAGGCTGAATCAATCGAGCGACGCTGGGAGGGTGTCCAATCTGCTGGTAGTCCGTCGCAGCTTATGAGGTACTGGACATTTCCAGACAACACAAGCACCGCTCCAGCATCCAGGCCTTCGTCGTGGATGCAGGTGAAGCACGAGCCGCGCACAGCAGAGCGGCTGCTAGAGTCGAAGCACATGGCCAGTTCCCCGCAGGGTGGAGTTGAGCAGACCGGCTCCGTTGGACGCCAGCACAACATCTCCAAGCTTGAGCATGCCAGAAGCGACGGTCGGGAGACACGCGCAGAGCTTTTGCTTCGCGAGTTGCAAGCAGGAAGCAGCTCGCTTGGGGATGTCATCTTCTCTGCAAGCAAGTCGAATGCGTCGAGCTCGAGGCGCTCCAAAGCACCGGAGAAGGAAGCAGCCGAGTTCCAAAAAGAAGAGGCGAAGCTCCGAAAGCAGCGCGAGAAGCTCCAAGAGGCGCCGGGCCGAACGGATGGGTCCTGGGATCTCAGCGGTTTGGCGATGTAGCGGGATTCGCATTGTTTTTCCAACCCCGCCAGGAGATGCGGCTGCAGCATGAGCGCCTCTTGCTATACCAGCGACAGAAGGACAAAGAGCTGGCGGACACGATCAAGAGCTTGCAAGATCTGGCCGGCCACCATGCATCAAGCGAAGATCGTGACTCTGATCCCGCTACGACGCCACCACAAGCTGTGGTTTTGCTGGGAGCGCTGGAGGGCAATTCACTTGGTGGAATGACTGTGTTGGCTTCCGCATGCATTGCGTGCGCAGCTGGGGCCACCCTCGGGGCATTTGGGCGCTACAGATATTCGTCTGGATATACTGCGAGCCTCTTAAGCAATGCAGCCGAGCCGTAAAATTTAGACGCCAAGGTTCCCTTCTTGACAAGGCTTGTCACGGATCACCACCTTGCATGACCGTAATGAATTCGTTCGAGCCAAGAGAAAGCAGCAGCCAGTTGAGCTTCCAATGAATCTCTCTCCGATTAACCCACACAGGAATTGTTGATCCACACGATGTATGCTTACCCATCTGTGCACAGGTATCTCAGAACACGCGCACCTTTTGAACGGATTCTTCTACAACATGTCGCAGTCTTTTCCGGTACAGTTGTGTTGTAGCTGTACAAGTGAGTGTGCGGTGTGTGTGTGTGTTGTGTGTGTGTGTGCGTATATCTTTTTTGCTTCTCGTGTTTCGGGGGCAGGGTCAATTCCCCTTTGGCATGCCAGCTCACAAAACCATTTCAGATGAGCGACATCCGAAAGAGGCCATCTAGCTAATGTAGGACCCAGAATGCAACAAAAGCTGACAACTCAGCACCTGCACCCTGAACCAGCGCGATGAGGAGAGAACCACGACCTTTCCGGGTAGCACTGAACTGTGATAATTGCTAATTTTGTGAGGTTAAATGCCAAATGGCAATGCCCAATCGACCCTGTGCCCAAAAAACGAGTACGCACACGTAAAGTATAAATATCTTTATGTACATGGATGTAGTAGGTATAGACATAGATGTACGTACAAGGAGAGAAAAAGAGTGCGTGAGTAATTCTGTGCATGGATTTCATGTCCAGCTATGTTCGTTGAATCTCGTTTTGGCTCTGTTGCTCTCCTGGTCGCAGTGGTGCGCCATCATTTGATATGGCGCAAAGCACCTTAGCCACGCGATGAAGAGAGGTGCCCTGTAGCCGTTCGTGGATCAGGGCATCTGTGGTGTGGGGGATTTAGGACTGTGTAGGATTCTAGGCAATGTGTCCGATTTCCTTGGAGTAACGGCGGTTGTTCTATGATTCCACAGCAGTGACTCGGTATCAGGAAGCTGAGACCCAAAGAGGAAGCGCAGCTAAACACGCTGCCGCAGAATGTCTCTGTCACCATGGCAGAGGCGGTAAGGTTGTTGCCATCAAAAATGCTTTCAGAGGCAGACGCTGAGGCTGCAGCCACGAGGAAGGCTCCTGTACAGGGCGATGCTGGAGGAGCCTAACAGGCCGATACCCTACTCCAGCCAGCTTGCAGGCCTCGTTCGGCACCATTGCAGGCCCTTGCTTGCAACAGATTGCCCAAGATCTTGCGTCAAGTCATGCCAGCGGAAAGAGGAGAGAGACCCCGCCTCTTGACTCTCCGTCTTTCTGCCACGGCGACAAAGCAGCTTCGAACGGCCAGTCTCGTGCGAGAAATAGACCCGACAACTGACAACTGCCTTGCCAGCTAGGGGGAGAAGCGTGCAGCGAACATCCCAGCCATCCGGCATACTTCGGGTCGTCATAATGGTGGTACGGTGGTACCTTCACAGAGGTTTCCTGATGCATGTTTTCCAAATTTCCCTGCGAGGAGGCAATTTCTATACATTGGGGCACCGGGAGCAGGAGAAGCTCGCTCCGGAAATCCACCAGGCTTTTGCAGTTGAAGGGTGGCGCAAAAGCAGTGATTTTAAAGCATAAACCGACTATGCTGAGCGCTGCATGTTCCCGCAGCTCCAACCTTTCAAGCCCATTGCAAACAGCAGACGTTACCTGCAAGCAGCCCACTGAACCACAGCCCAGATAATCGATGATTGTTATGCTTACGTCTATTGCAAGCCGTAAGATCTGCAATCTAAGTCTGAAAAGACGCCATGGACTTGCGTCGGCTCCGGCTCCTTCTGTTTCTGGGCTCTCATGCAGCACTCGGAGGCGAGATTGGATCCAGATGGCAGCTTGCACCTATCCCGCAAAAGGGTGCAAATGCAACGCCTGCCACGGAACTGGAGATTCGTGTGACGAAAGGTTTGGGGTCCAAGGTGCCGCCGAGGGCCGTGCTAGGTCAAAAGACGCTTCTTGCTTTTTAGTGAGACACCTCACTTGCCTCGCTCATACTGGCAGGGCTATGGGATGGTGCGTCTGTCCGTGGTGGCTTCAAGCCGCGATGTGGCTCCCGACTTCCCATTCAGCTATCGGGAGCAGTTCAAGTACCGATGGACAGAGAACTACCTGCTAAGCTCCCTCCTTTCGCTGCTTGGCTCCCTTAGTCGCTTCCGCGCCTTTCTTGAAAGCTTCAGGGTGGAACCCCGCCCAAAGATGTGCGCGTTTGCTGTGGCGATGGAGGGGTTCCCAGACTGCCCTCCGCCCTGTGTGCTCCAAGGCTCCAGCCAGGTCCAAACAAAATTTCAATTGCTGGACAAAGCATCAAGATTGACCTGCCAGCAGAGGACAGGGCACTAGAACCGTCCCGGGCCAAGGAGTCTGTCGATGTCCTTCGCATGTGGGGTCTTGTCTAGGACTCCGGCATCCGGGGATTCTTCGTGTCCGACCCATGCTTCTCGTCCAAGTATGTGGTGTGCTCCTACAGTTCTACTTTCCAAACTTTGGAGCGTTCCACGAAGCTTCTCAATGCTGCCTTTGAAGACGCGTCGATGAACCTTCTCGGAATTCTTGGTGAAGCTTGGCATCATTTGGTGACAGCGTTCTGCTTAACCCTCATGACACTACGTATGGTATATTGAAGACTTGGACGTGCTTCGTACCTACCTCATGCATGCATGGAGCGTGTACTTGTTGAAGAAGTTCTGAAATTATCCTGGCGTAGATGGCGGTGTGCCTTCACCGAGTAGGTTTAGTCACAGTTGTACTGTCGCAGTAGCAGCAACGGCAGCAGTAGCAGTGGCAGTAGCAGTAACGGTAGCACGAGGTTGTCCTGGAGCCGTAGTAGTGGCAATAATGGTGGAAGCGCAAGTACAAGATCGTCATGAGGATAGTACTAGTGTGGTAGTCAAGGTGGTACTGTGACGGTGATCGGTCTTGTCTTGGTATGTCGCAGAAACGGCTGCAGTCTAGTTCGTCGTCGTTGTCGCGGTCGTCGGGAACGTTGTCATCGTCTTTGATGCGATATCATCAACAGTTAATAGGGGTGCTCGTGGTGGCAGCGGCGGCAGCAGCAGCAGCAAGCGACGGTCAGTAGTCGTCGCCATAGCTCTGATGATTCCCTGAACTATCTCTCACTGGCTGCATTTGATTTTAGATTTAAGCCCCACTTGCTGTTTCGTTGTTGTTTTCATTGTTAGGGGTTCATCGCACATGCTAGCAGCGTGTGCAGCAGGGTCAGGTCAGCTGTGGGCTGCGTCGCTTCGTACACAGCTGTGCGCTGCTTGCGAGCATGAGCATGCGTTTCGGTATAGCTGTGTCATTCATGTCAATCTTGGTGCTGATGGTTGTGGTGCTGCTGCTGCTGCCGCTGCCTTATGGATCGTTGCAGAGGACAACTTCTACGATCAGGACGGCGAGATTTCGAAGGACTTCTTCTCTCGGGTGTCTCAAAATGTGAAGCGTCGCTTCTGGATGGTCGTGAACGGGAATCACGACAACTGGGTCTGCGGCTTCCCGGCCTGCGCCGGCCGGTCCGACAATTTCGGTATTGGTCAGATGCAGTATTACCCGATGGACTCGGTCGCGTCTGCAGAGGGTAACAAGCTCTTCGATTTCGTAAATCCAGATAACAATCGACACTGGAATTCGTTCTTGAACAACGGCACAAACTTCTTCTTTTATCACAAGCTGGGCAACGTTGGTTTTCTTGGTTATTCGGGGGCAGCTCAATATGAAGAGACTGTTCCACAGCTGCAGGCTGCGTGCAGCTACTTTGCAAAATCCAAGCCAGAGGTGATTTTCTTGCTCGGACACTGGAACAATCCAGGTGACGGATGTCATAATTCCATGAGTGTTCCTTCGATCTACGAGACGCTGCGAACAATCCCAGACTGTAAAGCGCTTCAGTCGCGGCTAAAGTACATGGACGGGCATGAGCATTGCAACTACGTGCAGGCATCACATGGGGATAACAAGTATGGGTTTATGATCGGCGGTCATGGTATGGCAGATATCAACTGCCGGCCGCAGTATGGCTTCGTATATTTGGACACAGCGGGGGGTTCTGCCAAGCTCCACTATTTTGAGGTTGGTGGTGGAAGCCGATGGGGCATCGTGGCAAGCATGGCTGTTGGACTTCTTTTGGGTGCTGCTCTGGGGATGCTGGCGGGTCTCGGTCTGACGAGTCTCTGCGAATGTGCGAGGAACAGAAAGAAATGTACTTATGTCGTTCTCAGCCTCCTGGGGCTTGCACTTGGCATCGTCGCAGGATTTTTGCTCGGTGTCTTCTTCATAAATCCGCTGTTCCCCATGGAACATAGCTATGATTCGATCATGGATTGCCTTCAGCAGAACGGCGGCCTTCACGCTTGCACCCACCTGGCCACAGAGTGGTTGAATCAACCCATTCAGAATGCCTCATCGTTTTTGGTTTGAAGCCGACGTCGAAGACGAGGTGTTACATAAATGCTAGCGTCAGTGAGTCCAGCCTGTTGGCCTTTTGTCGGCTTCAGCTCATGCCGTGGGGTTGCTTCGGCCATGACTTGTACAGTTCGAAGCTACCGGATGACTGTGTAAAGCTGGGAAAACTTGACGTGGTGCCACGGGCGGCTACCAGCCACTAGTTCGAAAAGGCAGAACTCATCATGCTTCTGGCTTGCAGGTGCAATGGCTCGACATGCGCTCTGCCGTGCGTGATGCTTTCACCAGCATGAATGGCTCCATGCTCAGGCTGCGTGTTGCTTTTGTCTCCCTTTTTGGGTCGTTCTGGTAGCTGGTAGATCAAGTAAACACATTGGCGTGCGCTGCATCGCCACATCCTGCAAAAGGGCTTTGGGCAAACACGATCGCCCAATTGCAAGGAAGACTTTCCAACAGCCAATGCCACGCTTATCCAATTGATGGTGTCCTTGCTCTTGCAGTTCCCCGGTCCATTCTCTCGGCACGACAGCACCCAGCAGAGCTCGGCTGTGCGAGCCCGAGGCTCCTTCCATCCAGTCAATGACTTCCAGAAGAAGGTGCGGCATCGCCGGACACCAGCTGTTGCAAAGATAGAGTTCTCGTTGATGAGCAAGGGTTCATATAAAATATAAAGCCATGCTGGCAGGAGTTCGAGCGGCTTGGCGTGAAGCGCCGAGATCCCATGTTCCTGACGATGGCCACACTGCTAGAGGCAGGGCGGTCCTTCCCGTCAGCTCTTCCTAGTTGTGCCAAAGAATTGTAAGCACGGGTAAGAGCTCTAAAACGTTGGTGCATCTAGCAAGGTGGACTCATTCCCTTCGCTACGCAGCTTCATCGTCTACTCAGATCGCCTGGATCCGGAGAAGGAGCCTCAGCGGGTTCCATCTGTGCCTGACTTCGAGGAAGGGTGCATCCGAAGAGCAGCGGTTGTGTTTTTTCCGAGAGGTTTGTACTGTACAGACCGTCGCGTGTAGCAGAAGGTTGAGTGCACATGGTCACAATGCTTCCGTCCCTCCAGTGTACAAGCCCGCGGATCAGGCGTGAGCAACACCGACGCTCTGATCAAGCTTGTCCGCGCAACGCTTTGTTGCAGGAGCTGCAGCGAATCCAGTGGCTTCGAGATGGAATGACACCAGAAGAGGCCGACGGGGAAACTGGTTCGCAGTTGTGAAGCCTGGCATGTCTTCTTGCGAAACAGGTCCTAGGCCTAAGGCCCTTTGTAGAGGCCACGGCTCCTCTGTTTCATCTTGAGCTTGCTGTTCGCAAGACTTCGTACAGACTTTCGTGCACAAGCCACCAGCACCCCAGTTGGAAGAATTTGTACAAGGTTGCCACGGTGTGGAGTGCCAAGAAGTCTCCCACAGAGGCAGGGCTTGGCAAATAATTATGCTTCCACACCTTCTTGTGCTGACTTAGAGGCATTCATACACACTTACAAACGCATCCCCCTTTCTGACTTGCCAGCCTCTATACTGAGGTCGCTGAGCGAGCAGGCATGTTCCGCACTGCGGAGGCCGAGTGCTGCACGGCGCGCAGGGCGGCAGTTGCAGTGATGCCTGCACATGGAGAGAGACACGGATCCTTCTTGGGGACCGGTTCGCGCTTGCGAGTGTTCGTAGAGACTCTCCTAGAGACTCTCGAAAATGAGTGTGTCCCCTGGTAGTTTCCAGGGCTTTCATTCCTCACAGGAGCGGCTTCAGCTCTGGACTCGAAGGAAGGAGGACCTTAGCGGTGCAGAAGAATATAACATAATACGATTCAAAAAAGCGTTGTTGGAATGCGAGAAAAAAGCGAAATTGATTCGAGAGCTTGCAGCGGCAGAGGGCAAGCTTCTTGATTGCGTCCGCAGCTTGCAGCGGCCTTTGAAGCTATGTACTGATTCCTATAGGACCTGTAGGGCCCAAAGAATCTAAAGGGGCGCTAACTCACGGAACTCGTCAGACTTCGCATCCCCATCGTCGTGCGTTCCAGGATTCAGAAGCCCGATTGTGAGCGACCTCCGGTGCAGAGTGACCGGAGCGACCAGAGCACCCTCTGACTCCCCTGGAGCAAAAGCTCGGCTTTCTGAGGGCTCCGAGGGCCCCCGAGCTCCCAGGACTCCCAGGACATGGAGACTTGATGTGCTCCGTACATCTCTTCGCTCCTTCTGGACATGCAGAAGGTGGTCCTTTGAACATATACAGCGCCTGCCAAGCAAGCTTCAAAAAGGGCAAGCGAAGCTGCCGCGCACGTTTAGCATGCGTTTAGATTCTCGTCGGCTTTCCTCGTCCAACATCGGCATCGAGCAAGTCAGCAAGGTCCGGCAAGCCTGTCCAAGTGACGACGGGCCAAAGGCCTTTCCGGCAGTCCGAAGCCCAGTGAAGCTTCTGATATTCTCATTACAACCGGCAAGTTGCGATTCTCAGGTTCAGTGCTCCCGTGGCAGTGCCGGCCACGACGCCGGCAAGGCCTGCAGCCTCTCACGGTGTTCAGCTAAGCGCTGCCTTGCAGTCTTCACCAGGAGCCGGATCGTGGTCCACCCGCCTGTTATGACAATGTCAGGTGGGAGTCTTTGATGCAGTGGATCCGAGACCATGATACTGATGCTCAGCTCTTGTCTTTCACTACACAGCCGAAAGCCGTGAAGGCGTGCACACACCCCGTTACAGCGTGGGCAGCATGGCTTTGCCGCAGGTCCGATCTGATTCAACTCGTGTGATCTGCATCTCCGAAGTCTGTGCACGTGTGTGCGTGTGTGAGAGAGGCAGAGAGGGGAATAGAGAGGAGAGGCTATCAAACGCCGTGGTTCATGACAAGTAGGAGTTCAGAGCACAACTTCGTAGTGGCATAGTGTTCATGACAACGTGTGGCATGAACTTGGTGGACAGGCGAAAGCACAAGAACCACAGCTGACTCCGCGAGGCAAATCGGGGCTGGTTTGACAAAATCTGCCGCTATCTGCGGCTCTGGATCATCCAAGATCCCGTAAGTAAGACGCCTCCCGTCCGCTCGCCCGCCCGCCCGTAAGATGTTTCTCACGGCGAATCTGTCTATGCCAGCGCCTGCTGTACAGGCTTCATGTCCGTCTGTGATTTCCGTGAACATAGGCTGGGCGTATGCGCCTATGACGCCCCCAGCTGGAGGCCGGAGTTCGAGCCACTAATGGAGTACTAGTTAGCTAGTTGCAACGGTCTCAGTTTTTGCGTGAGCAACTTCTGATTCCAGATGCCAATCTGATCGTCGTTGCACGCTGCAGGAAGATTCCAAAAGCTCATGCTGCAGTGTCGTGTTTCAGCTTGCAGGGTAGCTGTTGATGCCGCTGGTCCAGTTTCAGCCAGTGGTCAAGCCATGGGCAACTCCGGACTACTGTCCTGCTGTGTGAGACTCGGCCAAAATCAGAGCAAAGCAGATGGATGATCTCTATCCGACTCCCTCAAGACTTGCTGTTTTGCGTGTGTCTCCACAGTGCCGAAGAGTGTTCCAAGCCTCTAAGGAACGACCACAAAGTGGAGACGAAGCTCCAAGCTCCTCGCACAGAGCAGCAGATTCAAGAGCTTGTTCTAGGCACCAACTGCAGGTCTGCTTGATTTAAGAATTCAGAGATGTGTGTTGGTTGCGCACTGACAACACTGCAGACACAGAGGCTTTGCCACCTCAGCGCAAGCTCCGTCCGCTGCTATGTGATCTTGAGGCATCAATCTTTCAGCCAGCCATGATGATCTGGCACTCTGCTTAGAAAGGAATCTCCCACTGGCAGGCTCAGTTTGCGCAGTACGCCGGCTCGGACAAGGAGCTGGACGAGCAAGAATTGGCCGAAGTCTGGATAAAGGCACGAAGGTCATTTGATTATGAGTGTACTAGTAGAGGCACATGTCGCATGGTCGTGAGCATGCGGGAGTGGTCAGTACTTGTACGAATCATCCCCCCTGCGCTGACACGCGGCATTTGTCGCTGGGACCTGGCGCAAGACGATGCTGGAGCTCAGTAGACCCGGTCTTGATTCTGTGCCTGGTTAAGCTGCAGGCGGCAGAAGTGAAAGTAGGTGCCAGGGCGGGCTGAAAAACCTTGCTGCTTTGTCATTACCGCATGCTGTTTGTAGCAATCTCGCCATGTTTATGAACAACGCGAGCCTCTGGCTGTAGTTGCCTCTGCCTACCCTGCAGGAAAAGTCTCCCCAGAAGAAGCTGCGTTCATTAAGCAGAGCACAAAGGACCCGACATGTTGGAGTGCGGCTGGCCTCGTCGGATTGTACACCTTGTAAACCCCACTGCCCGAAAAGGGCTGTAATCCTGTGAGACGGAGGAATATTTCAAGACCATGGACATTGACAAGTCTGGCAAGGTCACGTACGTCGCTTGTTCGAGCATTTAATGCTGTTTGCAAATTCTTGACATTGAGAGAAACGAGTTTCGTCCTCCCTGCAGCAAAGGAAGAGTTCGTCGCAGGCATGCTTGGTGGACACGAAGATGCAAGCCACCTCACGCAGACACCTGACTGCAGTTCGATAGATTCGACTCCAGTCGTGCATTCCTGAAAGGTGCCCGCAAGACGGGCACCGGGCTTGATGCAGGCTGCGACAGGAACTCAACACCAAGATGAAGAGCGATCCTGGTCAATTGCAGAGGCTGGGTTGTTTTCGAGTCACGTGGCATGTCCAGCCAGTTTGTCACCTCGAGCTTATCTGAGACCCGCAGACCCTTGCGCAAGTCCGAAGCACATCAACGATCAAAGCTCCCTTCGCCCAACTTGGACAAGAGCTGCAGCTGTCAGGTTGGTGAACCAATTTCATGAGTGGGCTCGTGCCCTAGCTTCGAGAACATGCATCTCTTACCTCTCGCCGTCGTGCCGCTTTGCAGGACAAGAACGGTGATGGGTATATCACAAGAGATGAGCTCGAGGAGCGTTTTGTGTGTTGAGAACTCCCGTACCCCAAGCCAAACGGCTCGGCAAGAGCGCAGCCGTTCGTTTGTCGGTCGGCGCACCGTCTGCCCGAACGACACCAAACCATGCTGGATCTCTATCAATAACAACTCGCCTGGCTGTATGGACCCTTGGCAGAAACGGAGAGATGCTGGCCCTGCCAAGCTGAACAGCCAATCTTTTCGCTGGAAGTGTCAGCTGTCTGCCGTCGTGCTTGGTGTCTTGCTGAACGGAGCCAGAGTCAGGTCGCAAGGTCTCCTGGTTGCGGATTTACACTGCTTTGGAAGATGAGATGTTTTAATTAGGAGCATTCCCGACGCAGTAGTGGGCTTGAGGGAGGAATGCCAAACTTCAAAGCCTGTAGGAGCATGTGGTGCAGCATCTTGACTGCAGTCCTTATTACCTCTGTACTATCCTGCAACTGACTTGGCGCTCAGGCTTCAGCAGATGGCCTTGTCGGATGGCAAGGTAGACAAGTCCGAGAAGAAACGTATTGACGAGGTGCGGAAGAGACGGACGATTCCTTCCATCTCATCAGTGGGCTTCGAAAGATGCTGATCGAACAAATGCTAGGCGCGCAAGATGATGGAAGAGGTTTTTGCTGAGGCAGATGCACTGCTCTCAGATCTCCTTCAGTCAGCTTGATTGGTGAATCCTACAAAAGAAATCAATGGTTCCATAGTTAATTACGTAGTGATGATTGGTTAGGCCACAAATCGTTCACCGGACCAGCTGCATTGACTTAGCTGAACGTATTCAATTTCAGCAGAATCCAGCTTGAACCTTGCCGTTTGATTTGAGCATCCAGCACGGAAGATTCCCCGAAAAATTATCCGCGAGATCTTCGGGTTCAGTAAGGGTTGCAGTGCGGACATACATACATGCATGCATGCATGCATGCATGCATGCATACACACATACATACACACACTGTATGCACGCATACCGACATATGCACACATCGATGTGTGTGTGTGTGTTTATGTGAAGTTATATATAGGCATGTATATACTCATAGGTATAAAAAACACATACACATGTACATGCATGCATGCATGCATGCATGCATGCATGCACGCATATGTGTATGTACGCGAATATTCCTATGTACATGTACATGTGTATGCACATGCATATGTATGTGCAGGTATGTACATGCGCATGTATGTATATGCATGCATGTATGTATACATATACATATGCACACCGTATACATACACATACACATATAGTTGTATAGAGATACACATTCATATATGTACATATACACGATGCTCATGTACAGATACATGTGCGTCCATACGCATATATATATATATATGTGTGTGTGTGCATATGTAGATGTGCATGCGTATGTACATGTGTATGTAGACCACTTGCATTTCTACATAGCTTGTCCACTATGTCTTCTGTGGAACCAAGCAATCTGGCCACAGGTGTCTATCGCAGTCCATGATGGATGACATTGGATTGAGTGCGTGCATGGATGCATGCGATTTGCTGGTGAGGTAGACTTGGATGGACGGGTGGACCTCTGGGAGGTGATGGCATATGTGCTTGGGCGGAAGATGCTTGGAAGACACAGCCAGTACAAGTTGGTCGGGCGCCACTTGCGGTCTTCTGTAGGTTTGACTGTCACTGGCCTGCGTGGAAGCTTTCGCCATCCAAATCATGTGATCCTTGAAGATGTGTTGCAGTACCCAGGAAACAGCCTGCTTGGCGCTCGGATTCAAGGCGAAGTACGATTTTGTGACCCAAGTGTAGCATCTCAATAACGGCGAGTAGTATTATGCCACCTGGACGTTTGCAGTTCGAGGGCCTGCTGCCTGAGGTCGAGTTGCTGCTCTACGACATCTCCAAGGGCACCTTACTACAAACAGAGGTGGTAAGTTGTAGAAGGGCAGGCGATTCGAGTCAAAAGCTCGTAAGAACAAGCTGACAAAGGAATGGCGGCCAAACTTGGGCCGCTACTCCTTGGGAAGAGTGCCGAGGCCCAGGATACAGCCACACGCAGTGAAAGTCAGAGGAACATCGTTGCCGCTTGCAGCAGGCTGTGCACACTGGGGTCCTGGTTTACGGCAGCGAGTACTGGTACGGTGTCTTGCTGTTGGCTGTTGGGAGATGAACGAGGGGGAGGTAGTCACAAGTAGCCTCGTCCTAGGAGCATTTGCAATCTTCGTCTTTAGATGCCGCTTCAGGTGGCAAAGTCTTCCGGAGCAATCCACCGTGCCGGAAACAGTTTGGTGAGCCGCTGAAGCAGCCTTGGGGCATTGAACTGGAGCAGCCAGTCACTCAGCAGCTTGTAAAATTCTACGCTGTCTGCTGGAGCAGCAATGAGGTCCGAGGCTGTGCCCGAGCTGCCGGTGATCCGACTTGGATACACTTTTGTCACTCACCAGGACGGGCAAAGGCTACCGTAGGTAAGAAGTGGCAAGGCTTGTCGTTCTGAAGCCCCGTGAGAGGAGTTCCTCCAGTGGCTGAAATCTGGAGTCCAGGAAACGATGCTGCACAGCTTCTCGTTACATGTGGTTGCCCATTGCCTCCATGCTGTTCAAGGAACGATACACTGGACTGCACACGTACGACCTGCTGTCGCACAGTTGCAACCACTTCAGCAACGAGGTGCGCTCTAGCAAGAGGGCAAGGAATCATCGGACAGCAAAAGGGCATGCAGTCGCTGACCCTGCAAGGTGTGCACGTTTCTGCTCGGGCAAGGGATTCCGGAGAAGATTTTTGAGCTTCAGCATCTTGGAAGCTATTCATTGCTGTACTTGTAGTCCTTTCACAAGAACGTGTAATGCTTCGCAAAGGCTTGCAACTGCCATTGTAGCTGCAGGAAGACATTTCTGTCTGGCCCGATTGTAGCATTGCGCGCGGTGCTCGGGGCACAATATGTCAATATGTCACAGCAGGTGGTGAGCTTTTGGCTGGCGTGTTGTGTACATGTATCTACATGCTTGCACCCTGACTGCAGGGCCATTCCTGAATCGCTACCTTGGCGGTTTCGCACATCACGACAAGGGTCTTGTCAGAGGCCAAGACTTGAGAAGCTTTGAGTTCACGCCCGGTTCTCCGAGCTGAGGATGAGAACCTCATGTCCAAGGCCTGTCGGTCAGAGCTGCAAGGACCATCAAAGCAAGTTTGCTCCAGGACCAAGAAGTCGAAGGTGGCCAGGTAGAGTCCATCAAGGACGAGCTTCTGGGCGCCGGCGACGTGGTGCTGGTGGAGGTTGGGCCAAGTATGCTGTTGAAAGTTGCCAACCTAGGACATGCCGTCGTCCTAGAGAGGAGACAGTTATTGATTGTGTCCATGTACAGCTGGAAACAAAGGGCATCGACTCCATCCACGGCGCTGTTTTGGCCACGATTCTGAAGGCTGGAGCGTAGGTTTTGCCCTGGCGATGCCATGATATAGTCACGCATGTAGGAAAGATCGCAGAACATACGCTTTCATTACTCAACTCCCTTCAGGAGGAAAACGGGAAGTGTGAGATCAAATATTTCGATCCCACGGAGAACCGAATCGAAATCATGTCTCTTGGCGATGTGCGAGACATGAGAGACTTTCGGAGAAGACCTGCTAGTTTTCTGGCAGTTCCATGCAGTTCGCGCAATACCGAGGTCCAATGTTCCTCTGTCCAAGTGCAAAAAGACCGCCTCTTGAGACATCTCTGCGGTGTGTTCGGGGAGGTCCTTCTCTGAGGTTGCTTGGGAGGAATTCACAAGGAGTTCTTCACGTAGATCTGCTCCTGGAAAATGGGAGCTCAGTGATAGAAGCCCGTAATTTGCTTTAGCCATCACCACGAAAGGGGCCAGGAGATTGGCTCCCAATGTGCTGGATGACTTCGTGCTTGAGGGCTTCAGCAATTGTTGAAGACCCCAGTGAGACCCGCGATTGTAGAAAAAGGGCGCATGGGCAGAGGCGACTTAGTGAGCCATTCCAGAGCCAACCGGAGTCTGCAATTGGCAGGCGGCCCGTGCCAGGCAGCTCCGGCCTCGGCATCCGCTGGAGACGCAGATGCCTTCGCAGCAGTACTGCACCAGTCGTGGCAGCCTTTTCAGGTGCCGCTACAGCCCCAGCACGCCTTTCAGAATCGATACACAGGACACCTTCACCCAGCGCAGCAGCAGGTCCTGCCCGCGCAATCGCATGCATCGCAGCTACAAAGCCCCACAGTGGCACCAAACGTGGCAACTATTTCGCCGTCACCTCCAGTGCTGTGGCAAGTTCCGCAGGCCTTGCACGCCGTGCTTTTCTTATGTGGCTGCATGCATGACCGTATGCCGTAGGTGCAAACCCCAACTATCCCCATCGCAGCTTCAACGGCGCAGTGGGAGGGGCCAGTATCCAAGTCAGAGCCGCACATGGCTGGCATCATGCGGCATATCGCGGCGTCCTGTGGCAGTCATGCATTGTCGCCTTTGAGATATCTCGCAATTCACGGCCATAGCAACATCTATCTGAGGCGTTCTCGGTCTCCTAGCCCCGGGTTGCACGGGCCAATAAGCCAATTGGCAGAAAATGTTCGGGCCTTTGCAGAAGCAGAGGAACAAATCCTCATGTCGATGCTTAGAGCGAGGTCTCCTTTCGCCGTCCATCTACTCCGTCGGCACCGTTAGCAGCACCGCTCCAAGAAATCCGAGATTTGCTGCTTGCAAGTCCTGAAGGCCCCGACGGCTTCCCGGATGCATCTAACATCGAGCGCTCTTCACTTCAGGTTTCCACTCAATGCCCGGGCACCTCCATGCCCAGCACTCCGCGTTTCATGGCGCAAGAGGCCACGCAGCCCTGGAGCCAGGGGATGGATCTTGAATTTCTATCGCGTGGAGGCTCAGGCCATGGCAAAAGCAGCAGCAGTTGCGGTGGCCAAGGTCGGACACTAAGTCTTGCCAGTAGGGACCCAGACTAATGCCACAACCACAGAGATGTGCACACACCGCACACCCGCCGCACACACTTGTGCAACCCTCCCTCTGATTGATATCTTTCTCAATGTACTTCCTACTTTCAGAGGCGAAGACAGATAGCTACTATCCTCCCAACACAAGAGTGGCTTCGTTGGCAGTGGACTTGAGTGGGCCACTGCCCCCTGCTAAAATCAGTGCCTTATCCCATGGTAACAGGGTTGTACACACACGCACACACATACGCGTACCGGTCTTACATTCATGTTCATGTTATCAAGCTGCAAGCAACACTACTGCTTCCCATGGGAAGTCGAAGAATCTCTCTATATGCTGGGCGGAATTGACAAAAAAGCTTACCGTTTGCCAACTTTCGAGATCCCGTCACTGTCGTCGGACGCTAGAATCAGCTTGGTTCTGCTGCACAAGCAGCCGAAACAACAGCAGGGCTTGCTGGCTGCAAACCAGGACCATGGAAGGCTTCAAGACCGTTGCAAAGGGACTCTGCATCATGGATCATCATGACTGAGCCCTTCATGAGGGAAGCGCAAAGACATGAATGTAGCGGTTCGGTTCGGTTCGGTTGCGGTTT